ACTTTTAAATCAAAATGTAAAAGTATTATTTTTTTTTTCTTAAAAGTATTACATTTTCCAATATAAGTAATAAATACTTTATTGCTAATTAGTATTTTATTTGTGCGTATACATTTATATTTTCATCTTGACTCGACTCGTCTGTGAGACAGTCTCACGCAAATTTTTACTTTAAATTAAAGTTTTTATAATAATAAATTTAGTATGTGTGTATATATATAAACCAGGGCCGGACCTAGCCATGTGCTGTCAAGGCGACGACACAGGGCTCTTGATTTTTGGAGGCCCAATTTTTTTAAAAAAATATTTTATAGATAATTATATAAAGATATTCAACAATTATTTTTAGTATAAGTGGTTTCAATATTGTTACATTAAGTGAAAGATCAAGGGTTCAAATCTTGTTTATAATAACATTTCAAAATATTAATACAATACTGAATTACACAACAAATTTGAAGGTGAGTGGAAATACAGATTATACACGTTTTAATAACGGATCAGTTGAAAATTCTTCAACCCAACCTATCTAAAATATGTGTTAAACAGGTAACATCACTCCTATACAATATTGAAGGATACACAATAGGTAAACATAGAAAATAGAAATAAACCACACCATTTTCAAAAAAAAAAAAAAAAAAAAAAGAGAAGAAAGAAGAAGAAATAAACTACACCATGATCTCTGATTACAGAATGTTAAATAGAAAAGGTCAACGTTGTGGTACTGTGTGGCAGGCAAGTAGCCTTTAAACAGGAGATTGCAGTCGTAAACGTCCGTTTAATCTATAACGGACTCTTCTTCCTCTGTTAACTTCTTCCGTTTTTGCTAAACCTTAATTGAGGATTCAAAACATCATAAAAATATTGCTTTCGTGATTGTCAGTTAATCAGTTTATTATTTTCTTTTAGGAATAAGGGTCAAATAGGTCACTGAACTGCACACGAGAATGCAATTAGGCCATTGAACTTAAAAAATCTACAATTGAGTCCCTAAACTAACCAATTTTATTCAATTTGTCCATTTTTTAAGTTTCTCAAGTTGTTAACAAGTTACCCCTCCACCTAGGATGCATATGTGGCATTTTTTTAAAAAATAATTTAATTTTTTTTAATATTTAATAAATAAAAACTAAAATAATTTATTTTTAAATTAGTTTTTTTAATGTTTAATAAATAAAAATTAAAATAATTTTTTTTTGAAAATAAAATAATTTGTTACAGGGCTTGGATTTTATTTTCCAAAAAAAAAACAAATTATTTTAGTTTTTATTTATTAAACATTAAAAAATTTTAATTTAAAAATAAATTATTTTAGTTTTTATTTATTAAACATTAAAAAAATTAATTTAAGGTTTTCAAAAAAAAAAAGTAATTAAAATTTTTTTTTAAATGCCACATATGCATCCTAGGTAAAGAGGTAACCTGTTAGCAACTTGAGAAACTTGAAAAATGGACAAATTGAATGAAATTGGTTAGTTTAGGGACCCAATTGTAGGTTTCTTAGGTTCAATGGCCTAATTGCATTCTTGTGTGCAGTTCAGTGGCCTATTTGACCCTTATTCCTTTCTTTTATATACATTAGCTTCACAATTTACATAAGATTAATCTTAAATCTTCCAAACCCTTGTCCAAAAATCGTTAAAAGATAAATAAAAATAAAAATAAAAATCTCCACACTTTCAAAGAAGCAGTGCTTTAGATGGTCAAATCAACTGAATTGCCCTACGGGACAATTAATCAATTATTCAATTTACATGTTCAATTTACCATAACCGATAGGACTTAACAAAAATTATTGATAATTTAATTTTTATTATCAAATAAAAATTATGTAAAAAAATTTGGTAAATTTTTTTAAAACAAAGTAAATTCAAAATAAAAATAAATAAAAATCAGAACCAATAAAATGAGATTGAAGAAATATTAAATGGTCACGCACACATAATGCTGACATAAAGAGATGAACAAATCGCCAAAATTTAAAATAAATAAATAAACGTAATGTGGTTTCCTGACATGGCAGGATTATAAAATTGATTAAAATAACAAGAGTCAAGAGGTGATATGAAACTTTCTTTTTTCTTCGGATACAAGGAATGATAAGGAAAATATTGCTCGTTTACTAAATGAAATTTTTTTCCAGTTTTCTAAAAATTTATTGAACAGAAACAAAAAATATTTTTATTAGCACAGTTTTTCAGTTTGCTAGAAAATCATTAAAAACTGTTTTTTTAAATAGAAAAATGTTGAACAATTAACGCATTCTTCTCGGTGGAAAGCATGATTTGATTATTTTCAATCAAGAACGCAATGAAAAGTGAAGGGAAGCATAGCACGACTTAATTGATAAAGACGGCAAAATAAGTGATTTCACGCATTTTCAAAAAAAAAAAAAAGTGATTTCACGCTTTTGAAAATAGTTAAAAACGGTGGGTGCAGTATGAAATTTATGATAATTCCGTGAAAAAAATCATTTCTCCATAAATGTATGGTTAAATACGTTTGTTGTCTTTGACATGAAACTAACTCTTTGATAAGCAATTAAATAAAATAGGAAAGATTGAAGAGGAAGAAGTCTTGAGCTCACCTACTACCCGGTATGAGGAAATGGTCCTTTAGCAACCTAACCCTATTAGTAGCCAAAAAAAAATCTAAAGGCCCAAAGTGAATACAAGTTGTCCACGTCATCAATAGTTATGGCAAATTATAATCCACATAATGTTATGTAGACCATAATAAAAAGTACATTTTTAATATACTAAATGTATATTATTTTTGTACTAAATGTACATTATATAATATAATGTACACTCAGTAAAAAAATAATGTACATCCCCTAAATACAATGTACATTATTTTTGTACTGAATATACATTATTTTTGTACTGAATATACATTATTTTACAGTATACAAAATATGGTCCACACAATAATGATTGCAATAGTTATTGTGTGGACCACAGTCCAAAAATAACATTATTTTGTATAATTTTTTGTATGCAATTCACTGCAACATACATTTTTATAATTCATAAAATATATTAATTTTTTTAAAAATTTCATTATTTTAACGCATAATGTACATTATTCTAACAGCTGTATGGAACGTTTGCACCACATAATTCTTTCAACCAACTTTGGGCCTACAGTCCTTTAATCTCCTAGCAAATAGGCACAAATTAGTTGGTGAACTTTTTTTTGGGGAGGGGAATTAGGTGGTGAACTTTTATCACATTCAATTTCAATTCTAATCACGCGTAAATTTAAATTCTAACGTTTAAACAAGGAAAAATGGCACTTTTTCCCCCTATGTTATATACTTATAGCACTTTTTCCCCCTCAATTATTTATGTAAGCACATTAGCCCCCTCAATTATTTTAAAAGTGGTGATTTTTCCCCCTAATATATTAAATTGACATTTCTACCCTTAAAGTAAACATTTTATTTATTTTACTTCTCCAACAAATTATTGCGTATATGTAGCGATTACCACGGTTCGGCTCGAACTAAACCAGACACTATAGCAATCGAATTAAAAGCTTTCAGTTATGATTCAGATCTAGAACCCAATATTTGGATTTCAATTTATTAAATTTAAGAATAAAAAAAACTGGATCATGAACCGGCAGTTCCGGATCCCGTTCGCGATTTTGAACTGTCTATATTTAAAAATTTTATTTTTTATTTTAAAATAATTTAAATTCAACAATAAATGTATTTTATTTTTTCAGTTCGGAACATGAACCGGACATTCCAGTTCGCGATTTTAATAAACTCTAAATATCGAGTTTTGATTATAAATTGTAATTGGAATATTTTGGTTTGGTTACTATAGTATCTGGTTTGAACCAAATTATAGTAATAATTTATTGGAGAATAAAAATAAATGAAATATTTATTTTAAGGGTAAATATGTCCATTTAACATTTCAGGGGGAAAAAGAGCCACTTAAATAATTGAGGGGGAAAAAGTGCTATAAGTATATAACATAGGGGGAAAAAGTGCCATTTTCCCTTTAAACAAATAGTTCAATTGTAAGGTTGTCCTCGTCCCTAAAATGATATCACTTGTAAAATGATGTGGTATACTTTTGTGTTAAATATATATATTTTTAATTTAATTTTATTGCTCAGGTGTCTAGCAAGCTTTCTATTTTAGAAAGCTGTCAAATGGCAGCTTTCATGTATTTTTTTTTTTACTTTTTCTATTTTTCTTAATATATATATATATATATATATATATATATATATATATATATATATATATCTGTTTATTTATTGAAATTCAAATCCATTTTTAAAGTGATAGGGAATTATAAAGATGTAAAATAAATAGAGAGAAATAATAAATTCGATGATGTGAAGGTGAGAGAGATTTGTAGGGATAAAAATAGTCTAAGTTCAAATACAACCGTACTAAAACTATATAGAATCAATAATTATTTTGTTTATAGTCACCGATATTATAAAATTTCTCAGATGTATTATTTTTAATTTGAATATTAATGTCTAAATAGTAAATTAATATTCTTTGAAATCTTACCTAACCGCAAACATGATTAGAGCATTCACAATGGTGAATTTTAAGTAGTTTTTGTAAGTTTTAATACACACGTGGAGGAGAGAGAAGAATTGAGGTTTTTATCAGGAGATATGATTTTTATCTCTACCGTGAGTCCCACCAAAATTAAAAAAAAAAAAATTTTGTTCCACGCGTGAGAAGCACTAAAAGCGCATTGCCGGGCGTGTGGTTTCCTTTGTTTTTTTTTTCTTTTTCTATCCATTTTCTCTCCTATTCATATATGCAAAAACCAATTAAAACCCCCAACTAATGAGAATACTCTTAATATCATAAATATTATTCTAGTTAATTGATTGATAAAACTTATGATCGAACTCAAAATATTATTGATTGAGAAAACTTATAAGACTAAAACATATGCTGAAACTGCACCTTAAAAGGGAAAAGTACTTCCTACCAAAAAGGGGGAAAAGGATAAACCCAAATAGTAACAAGGCTCAATCGAAGAATACAAGTTTATAAAGCACTTATACTCGACCAACTTCAAATCCAAACTTGAAGTTGCACCAGAACGTATACTTATAGTATGGAAGTCCCAAAAAAATAGAAGAAAACATGACAGTCTTGACAAAATACATGGGACTGAAAACAGTCAAAATACAAAAAATTTGGAAAGGGAAAGAGAGAGAAGGAAAGATGGAAGAGGTGACTGGGATGTGCTTTTTTGCCAATGATTCAGGATGCCATTACAGGTACCCTCTTGTTGCCCATGACAACTTCTCGAAGGCGATGGTAGCCGTTCCTGTAGTGCTCCAGCGAGAAACACAGCTGCCGGATGGCCTCCCGTTTCTCCTCTGCGCCTTCCTCGATCAGTTCATGTTGTCTCCTTATGTCGGTCTCGAGATCTTTAACCGTTGATCTCAGCTCCTCCACCAGTTTGCGTGCCCCGTCGTTTTCAGCGAGCAACTGAACGTGCTCCATATGCAGTTGATGCATATGCCTGTTCGTTTCATGGATGCGGTCGTCTCTAGAATCTAGGTCGGCAGAAAGTGCGACAACTCTCGCATTAAGCTCGTCCTTTTCGGCAGTCAGCAACTCGTTCTTTGATTTCAGTTCTTCGATGCATCGATTCAATTCTTCCACGCGATCATTGCTCTCTGAGATGCTTATTTTTAACAGCTCAATCTCGGATCCAAGCAATGCTTCCATTTCTGATTTTCCAGCTAAGACTCGTCTCGCCTCGTCCTCTAAACATTGGCAGCGTACATCCATTTCTTTGACGTTATCCTGCAAGTACGCCCGTTCTTTCAATAGTTTAGTAATTTCTTCTTGAAGCTGTGAGTTCTCCTCTGATAAAGCCTTGTTGGCGTTGGATATCGATTCCTTCAATCCCCGGATTTCCTGATCTCTTTCTGATAGATTGTTTTTGTACCTCATAATTCGATCCTGTAGCTTTGAGATCTCTCTTTTCTCCTTGTCGAGTTTGGTTGTCCAAGCAGAAGCATCTTTCTGTTTCGATCCGAGCTGATCCTGCAATTGTTTTATAGAACTTTCATTACGCTTAAGTTCCTGCCTTAAGCTTTTCACCTCCTCCTCGGAATTGTGCAACTTCTCTTTAGTGACCCTCAGCTCCTCTTCTAGAGCTTGAATCTTCTTAAATTCTGGATCCAGAATTTCGGCTTCTGGTTCAGCAATTCCGTGAAGTTCTGGCAATTCTTTTGCCTCCACCGCCAAGTTCTCTCCATTGTTCAGTGTATAAAACCCTGATTCATATTTCTGAAGCTCAATTCTCAACCTGACAATTTCTTCTTCTGACAGTAGGATTCTATCGTTTGCAATTCTCAGCTCTTCCTCGTACCCGGATACTCTAGCAAGAAGAATTTCAGGATTTCCATCTTGAGACCCTCTGAATGAACCTTCGGAAATCTCTTGCTGTTGTAAATGGAGCTTTTCTTTTACCTCGCGAAGCTCACTCTCCAATTCAAAAATCTTCCTGCGTAACCCATGGTCATCATCGTTGCTCAGCGTGGTTGAATAATTATTGATGGATGATGAATCATCAGATTCTGACTCAGAATCCAATGTTGACGATTCGTCTCCTTCCTTGTTGAAATCCGAGCTATGTCCACCCCCGAGAAAGAACTCGAATCCGGCGGCACGAGGGCCAGATTTTTGGCGAGTTGGCCTCAAATCAGGAGAAGGCATAGTAGAAGACGATTCAGAACCAAGACCAGAGATGCCTGAACCCTGTGATTGGAGATCAGAAGGAATGCTTTTCCGAAGTTCTCCCGTCACATTGTCATAACGTTCAGCCAACGACCTGTACATCCGGTAGAATTCCTCAACAAGATTGATCAACTCCGGCCTCTTCTGGTAATACATTTCAGCCTTCTTAGCAAACGAGTCACCATCCTCTTCCACGAGCTTCAGCATCCGTTTTATATTCTGGTCCATCTCTGAAACAAGTGATTTTTTGTTCATTTTCTGATTTGACATTTTCTCCATTGAAATCAGATTCCAGAGGTGAGACGACATCACATTGTATCACAATTCCATGGATTATATCAACAAACACTTTGAAGATTGAAACTAACTAGAAAAATTTGGAGAAATGACTGCAACACATTAACCCTCATTTCAAGGAATGGCTCAAAATGTCTACTCATACTTCCAGAGACTCACAATAAAAGCTAAATCTGTGTTGGTTCTTTATCCATATTTCTTGGTCAAGCATTTTGCAATGCAGTCAGCCCCACAAATTATTAAAATTGGAACCAAGTTTAGGAAGTAAATACATACATAGATATTATTATATCACATTCAATATATTTTTGCCAAGTGGGCGTTTAACTCTTCACACTTACAGGGCGTTTGGTTGGAGGGGGGAAATTATGTGGGAAAGGAATTGTAATTCCATGGGAATTGAATTACTGGGAATAAATTGGGAATTTAAATTCCAGTGTTTGGTTGACAGGAATAGAATTACTGGGAATTTCAATTCCAATGTTTGGTATACATGGGAATTGAAAGGGAATAAGTAGTATAAAGTCAAAAATGTCCATTATTGTTGTTAGACATTAATTTTAAGTTAAAAAAGGAGGGGGTAATGTTGACTCATCACTATCTTTTTTTCCGAGGAATTAAAATACGGGGGGGGGGGGGTGGGGGGGGGTGGGGGGGGGGACGACATGGGATTTTAATTCCATGAAAATGGGGGAATTGCAATTCAATTCCCTCCAAACAAACTATGGAATTTAATGGCCTTTGGAATTAGGTGGGAATTAAGTGGGAAGGGAATTTAAAATCCCTCCAACCAAACGCCCTGTTAGTTTATTTGGCAATCACATAATAAAGGAAATAAATTTGGTAGAGAACATATATTTTACTTAAAAATTATAATAGAGATTAGTGACTTTGTGACTTACTCTCGAGATTGTCTTGAAGCCACCTAGAGTTTTTGGGACTAATGTGGCTATCCCACCACCAGGAATGTGATTTTTTCGATTCTAACCTCCTCATGGCCTTGCTTGACTTTGCCTGAAAATGGAGAGAAACGTCAATCCAGTCACACTACTTAGGCGCGATTTTTGCAACACTGCTTAAAGCCATCCGATAAATCTGATGTAAAAACACAATCAAACACACCCAATGAGCGAATGGCACCCTCTTTTGATATAACACAAAAGGGGTTAAAACGATGTCCAACTCAAAAACATAACTAGACTAGAAGGAATGAAGGTAACACAAATACACAATTGTCACAGCAAAGACACACTCAGCTGAACTTGACCGCCCGACATGTTAAGATATTTTGATTTAGAGTTCTCACCAAGTCGGACGCCATTGAGCTGAACTTGCAATCTGACCAGAATTCTTGATTCAAAAGGGACGTATCAACAATCCTGCAGTGCTCGATCCAAACTGCCAGAAGTCAGACACAAACTATATTATTAATGAACAACATTCATAATTTCATACCCAAAAAATATTCAAAAAGGACAATAATCACACTGCAGCCAGGAATTACAATTTGAAACTTGCAGCATATATACCATTTCTAAATAATAGTCATTATTACTTCACAAAATTCCTATTTTTTGGTAAAATATATTCCTTCCTCAAGAGTTCAAGTTATGTATGTATACATAATGCGTAGATTCATACCCCCCCCCCCCCCCTTCCCCCCCTTCTTACAATACACATAGATACATTCTTCCAAAAGGCTGAACCCCAACCCTAAGGGAATACACATAGATACATACATATACATATATTTGTGAGTGTGTGAGAAGTAGCTTGTAGCTCAATGATACATCTGTTCTTCTCTCAAATGGAAGGTCACAGATTTAAACCCTAGTGGCTCAACAAATATTTGCGAGTGTGTCATCATCAATGGCTCATTAATTAATTTAAACAAGCATTAAAGTCCATTACACGAAACTTGCGTGCCGGCCCATAACTTAGACTCATAGCACGGTCCAATATATATTTTTATATAAATATATAATAAATAGATGCGTTGACAAAACTATATAAAATTCAATGCATCTTCAATTTACATGGGCCACCTAACAAGATAATATGTAGACACGTGTCACGACCTGGGATAGCGGCGAGAAACACGCACCTCAACCGAAACCTAACGTGCAGGCACGCGTAGAGGAAGGAGCGTGAAGATCCAGGGCGGGATTACAGTCCGCGGGAGAGAAGAAAATTTTCACAACTGTACTACCATATATTCCAGCTATATCCACGCGGCCTTGTTCCTCGATTTATAATTATTATATTTTTTCACACTAAAAGGAAACACCATTAAATTATTTTGCAAAAATTGGGGAATTAATGTAAAATATCTTATATTTCCTTTCTTTTACAAAATAATAATGCCAAAAATGAAAAAAAAATATATAAAAAAAAATACTCTGTATCCGTAACACAATCTGAGCTGAATAAAAATATATATAAGAAAATATTGCTGTATTTTTCCGGCACCGGCGAGGAGGGATTCGAAAAATCGCGCTATAGCATACGGAATTATCAAATTTTGAATTCAAATAACAGAAAAAACAGAAGTGAAACGGAACGATTCGAACCTGAGATCAGACGCGGGAGGCGAATCTCGGCGGAGAAATCTCAGGCCAAAGCTTCTGACAATCTGCAAAGAATTTGGAATAAAAATAGGGAAATAATCGAACAAACCAGCGGATAAAGCAGGGAGAAAGACGATAAAAGCTGTATTACCTTTTGGAATTGAAAGATTCTTGGTTGTATCACGGGGGTTTGAACTTTGAAGCTTGCAGTGAGGGCGAAGAGAGGTATAAGAAAGACAAAGAAAATGGGGATAACAATGGAGAATCTAAAACTTGGGTTTATATATAAATATTGTTTGGTTTGGAGTTATGTGAAATGTATGAATCTGAAGAGTGAGGGAAAGTGGAGAGCAGGAGAAGAAGGATACAAATGGGAAAAGACGGAAACCGACTTCACAACTACGGAGTATTTCTACGCTTTTTTTGCCATTTAAGTCAAACTTTATTTATTTAAAAACTTTTATAATATCACGAAATTAGGTATTTGTTACTATTTTTACAAATGTTTTGAAATATTACTATTTTTACTTATGTATTTGTTTCAATTCGAGATCTGATTGAAATTATTTATAATTTAATTTTTAATAATATTAAATTTAACGTTGGTATATAAAATTGATATATTTAAAAATTATATAAAATATTAAATTTAAAAATTATTAAAAAATAGTATAATTGATTAATAAATAGTAAATACTGAATAATTAAACGTGACAAGTAAATCACATAAAGATTCGTAAATTTAAATTCCTTTTAATAAAGATAATATATATTAGATTCTTAATTTATACAAAATTTTACAATAAAGTTAATTTCATTTTTGGTCCTAAATTTATAGGTAACAATTTACTTTTAGTCCTTTTTTATATAATCATCTGGTCATAGTATTATTGTGGCATGACCATATTTAGTCCTCCATCAACAAAATCGTTGAAATATCATTAAATATAAATACATTACAATCTTATTTTATACAAAGCAGTTTGAACCGCTATATTTTTTTATATATATAGATTTTTTAACATCCATAATTGAGGAACAAAATATCATTGTATTTAACAATATTTAGACTGTTTTGTTGATAAATGACAAAAAATGATCATACCACAATAATACTAAGACTAACAGTGGATGCTTTAATAAAAAACAACTAAAATAAACTATCACCTATAAATCTATGACTGAAATGAAATTAAATCTTTTACAATATTATACACCATAACATCATAACAAAAACAATATTAAAACTAAAATTTTAGCAATGAGAAGATTAAAATGCCAATTAACACCAAGTATAAGTCAGACAATTTTGAAGGTTGTATCACATAATGGGTATCAAAGTTAATAAAACATGATTCTCGTACTTAAATGTTATAAATTTAATTATTGCAAACACCTTCCAAATGGATGAAGCATAATTCTTCCAAAAGGCTGAACCCCAACCCTAAGGGCCCCCCACACCCCGGCCCGACAGAACATTTGGGAGGATGTAAATCATGGTGACTCAACTGAACATGAACCATAGAGGCTAGACCGGTGCTCACTGCGCACAAGGAGTCCCCCTCACTTTGAGAGGTTGCTCACACACTGCCGCTGGTGAGACTCGATCCCTGGTCATAATTAACATAATTGAATGTTGTGCGGTGATATGTGGTGGGTCATCAAGTAATGACTACAAATTTTCATAATATTTTTTTTAAAAAAAAAATCATAACAATTTTTTTAAAAAATGTTAATTATACTTGGTATAATTGACACATTAAAAATTGTCTGACATATATATCCACTTAAATATTATCACTTATTTTATTGTGATTATTGTGACACAAACAATTTTATTTTACCTATACGATCTTTTTTAATAACACTATGTATTATCATTTTCTACTTGGTACTTAGGTGACCTACTCTAGTCCATTAATATATATATATATATATATATATATATATATGTGTGTGTGTGTGTGTGTGTGTGTGTGTGTACACATTTTTTTATTAATCTTTTTTCATTCCATCAATAAAATTATGCCACTTATAGAATTTAACTTTTTAAGGTTTATATATCATTTTTTTAGTACTACTAAATCTGTTACAATGTGGTATCTATTTATTAATACTTTCTCAATCAACTAAAACACAAAGAGTCAATACCGTCCTTATTAGGGATCAAACACACGACCTCCCATTTTAGTTTATATATACTTTTCTTTAAATAAAATAATAAAAATAAAAATAAAAATTAGTGGGTTATGTATAGTGGATGAGAAATATTATTTAAAATGTGTCACATATATTGAATATTTAGGTGCAAGATCAATTTATTGTATGTAAAAATGTATAATTTACTGTTGACTTTCAAAACTATATTAATTCGATGTAGGTCATCAATCATCATGAATCTGATATTGAATTCATGAAGTGTAGGGTATAATATACAACCTTAGGAGGAAATCCGTTTAAAAAAAATAAATAAAATGGACCACTTAAAGAGATGGATACTTGCTTGCACGATGTCATCCAACAATATTATATACACACATTTATATACAAAATTATTTCTCTTTCTTCTTCAACTATATTAAGAATATTATAATTGCCCCTGCAGAATTATGTATAGGAAACATGATCCACGCATGTGAAAAGAAAATAAAGATGGAAGGTAAGAGCATTCCATCAAAGTTTTTTTTTTTTTTTTTTTTTTTTGCACAATTAGAGGAGATAAAATAATTTGGAAGGGAGAAAAGAGAAGAAAAATAAATTAAGATTTTACACCAAGGTTAGTTTTTATGAGGTTCACAATGAAGAAGAAAAAAAAAACAATGATCACTTTCGTTTGGAGTGTACGTTCATAACGGCTGTCACGTTTAGTCACTTTAGTGACTGCACCGCATAAATAGTCTTTTTTAATAGAGTTAATACCTAAAATAGTCCCTCGACTATGTCGTAATTACTAATTTAGTTCTCGACTATCATTCTTACCCAATTAAGTCCTCAACTATACAATTTTTATCCAATTTAGTCCTTTGTCAATTTGACTGTTTGTTGACTGTCAAAAGTAGAAATAAAGTTGTAATTTTACAAGTTTTCTCCTTCCTCCTCATTTAGCAGCGCCAAACCATGTAGCAATAAGCTCCGGTTGGGTTCTAAACCTGTCAGTATCGAAGTAGTGGTTATGCATCGGATAGCCCATGAATTTGATTTCCAACGATTTTTTGACGATCGAAATCTGATCAGAGTGTATTGTTGCATGGTTTGGCGCTGCTAAATGGAAAGGAAGGAGAAATCTTGTAAAATTATAATTTTATCCCGACTTTTGACAGTCAACAAACAGTCAAATTAATACAGAGGACTAAATTGGGTAAGAATTGTATAGTTGGGGACTAAATTGGGTAAGAATTGTATAGTTGAGGACTTAATTGAGTAAAAGTTACATAGTTGAGGACTTAATTGGGTAAGAATGGTAGTTGATGACTAAATTGATAATTATAGCATAGTTGAGGGACCATTTTGGGTACTAACTCTTTTTAATATTTTCTTTTTTCTTGACAACTTTTTTTTATCTCTCTATTCTCACTCATGGTTGCCTTATCCCAAAAAGAAAAAAAAAAAAAAAAAAAAAAAAAAACTCTTTTCTCTTGAAGATGCTAGAAAAAAAAAATAAAAATTCTTGAAGTTTATGCTATTCAAATTTAACTCCCTGTAGTTTCACAATTTATACAAATGCCCAAAAATTATACATCTGTGTTTTGCAGTGTAAAACATGAAAATATAAAGGGTCAAAGATAATGATGAAAAAGAGGGGGACATGCGCTCCCCATATGTGGCGGCTGATTCAAATATTTTTTAAAGGGAAAATGGCACTTTTTCCCCCTATGTTATATATTTATAGCATTTTTTCCCCCTCAATTATTTAAATGGCTCTTTTTCTCTCTGAAATGTTAAATGGACATATTTACCCTTAAAATAAATATTTTATTTATTTTTATTCTCCAATAAATCATTACTATAATTTGGTTCAAACCAGATACTATAGTAACCAAACCAAAATATTCCAATTACAATTTATAATCAAAACACGATATTTAGAGTTTATTAAAATCGCGAACTGGAATGGCCGGTTCATGTTTCGAACTGAAAAAATAAAATACATTTATTGTTGAATTTAAACTATTTTAAAATAAAAAATAAAATTTTAAAATAAAGACGGTTCAAAATCGCGAACGGGAACCGGAACCGCCGGTTCATGATCCAGTTTTTTTTTTATTCTTAAATTTAATAAATTGAAATCCAAATATTGGGTTCTAGATCTGAATCATAACTGAAAACTTTTAATTCGATTGCTATAGTGTCTGGTTCAGTTCGAACCGAACCGTGGTAATCGCTACATATACGCAATAATTTGTTGGAGAAGTAAAATAAATAAAATGTTTATTTAAGGGTAGAAATGTCAATTTAATATATTAGGGGGGAAAACCACCACTTTTAAAATAATTGAGGGGGCTAATGTGCTTACATAAATAATTGAGGGGGAAAAAGTGCTATAAGTATATAACATAGGGGAAAAAAGTGCCATTTTCCCTTTTTTAAATATGTTGGGTTTAGTTTTGATATAGAAAAATACTTCTTATCCTTCTTAAATTTTCCCTCGTAATATGATTCTCAATTATTGGCTGACCATAAATATGATAATTAACCACTAATCAAAAAAGAAATTTAAATCAATCAAATGTTGTCAAAGTCAAAAAATAAAAAATATAAGAAAAATAAATCTATATCTATATCTATATATATATAAAAGTAAAATCCTCCTAACAAATTTTCCCCCCAAAACTTTTGTAGTAAAGTTTATTTGGTAAGTAAATGTCAAATGGAAATTAAATAAAATATATTAATTGTTATATTACATAATTGGTAATATTATGTATGGTATTATATTCTATAATATAATTGAAAATATTATTGTTCAAGTATAATAAAAATCTTATGAAATAATGTAAGCATAATAAAATAATAATAATAATAATAATAATATAAAAACGATATAAATTTTTTCCCAAAACTTAGCGGCATTTATATAATATCCTAATTTTCTAATTTAATTAATTATCAAAATATTGAAATTATATATTATATATTATTCATTTATGTGTAGACATACTTATTACTGTATATAAAGTAAATTAGGTAAATATATTCTTCAAACATAAATTAAGTATCTATATATAATTTTTTGGTAAGCAAATGTAAAATTGTAACTCTAATTTTAATTGGTAAATGGTAATTGGTAATTGGTAATATAATAAAAACCATAAATGTTACCCTTAATCATATCTAAACACCTATATATACATCACATTCTCTTCAATACAAACAGTACCAAGTTACGAAGAACCTAAGGG